CTGCGGCTAATTTTTTTTAACTTTTGATCAATATTTCTTAACAACTACCTATTCAAATTTGATAAAGTTTTTTTTTTATTCAATTCTACAATCTCGTAGAATTAAAATAAAAAACATTTCATTAGATGGTTATTGAAAAATCATTAAAAAAGAAAATTTTCGCCTGATTTTACTTGTGTAAAAAGAAATCTATTCATAAATAAGAAATAATCACTAATTGTTAAATGAATCCTACAGAATCGTGGAATTCACGGGATTCAGAAAAAATGATCTGAAAAATTGGTTGATTTAATTAAATTGAAAAGATAAATGCATGAAGATTTGATCTGTATAAGGCTTGTTAAAGGCATGAAGATTTGATCTGGAATCTATACACTAATTATGTGAATATTTCAAATTAAGTATTCTCTCTTTTATTTTTTTACAATTGCTATTATTTATTATTCATGTTTAATACTAGCTTTATTACAGTATTTTCTATTCTCAATACTTATTTTGTGTAACTAGCAGTGTTTACTATATATGGATCTTTTAGTGTGAATTTGAGTGCTTTTTTTGTCGGGTTAGGGTTTTTACAGAAGTTATGGGGCAAAGCTATTTTATAACGATTTTTAGGATCGAAAACTTAGAAATCATAACATTTCATCACCCCTACTTATTAGCATATTAGTGATACCTGTTATTTGAGCAATGTTGTACTTTTTGTATTTTAAATCTCGAATTTCAATTAACGTTTAATAAAGAGTAAAATTTTCAGTTTAAAATCGTGTATAAAAAAATTTTATTATATTCAACCTCGATTGTAAATAAAACTAATAATTCAGCTTGAATAAATTAAGTTGAATAAATTTTGAAGGTTACGCATTCGGAAGTTCAACGTATAAATTCATATATTTCGAAGGTCTAAATATCTATAACGCGTTTAAAGAATCAATAGGAAATTTGATATGAATTTTTAACAAGTATAGCGTCTTTATTAAATATTTCATAAAATTTTCAAACGCAAAGAATTTGATCCCGAACATAAGTGTACACACAATAATGAAATCATTTCTTTTCATTACTGCTTAAAATTTGCTGCTTATATATTTAAAAAAATTGTTGAAGAGTAATTATTTATCCACGCTAATTCAACCGAATTCATTAATAATATATATATATTTTTTTTCAATTTTCTCCAACTATAAGCATGTTCTTACGTTCTATTATGCCAGAATTTCCTTTATTAACGTTAATTGATCTTTTTAATATACACTTGATTCTCAGTACCCGAGTACGAATTCAACGAACCTCAACTAGCAAGATCTATATAGCATGGATCTGACTTGGCCTTAATTCCTCCTGCAAACAAAGAAGTTAGCGTTTCGTTCATAAAATATATAAACTTTCAAACAATGCCCGAATTCCACTATATTAATCACTTATCATGCAGCCGACTCTTTCAAAGCGATCAGTTTTTCATTTGTATTCTTGGAAAATTCTGTTACGCTAATAAAGAATAAATCTTTGAAGCTTTTTATTCGCATAAAAATGACATTATTTAATTTATAACGCGTATTTTATTGGCTATAGTTAATCGATTATATCACGTTATCAAAGATCGTTGATTCCGCCCAATCAAAAATGTGATCTACAGATGGCCAATAGAAACTTTGGGGGGAAATTAGTAAACGTGTTAAATATGTGAGTAAATCAGAACCACGTTCTGCTACTTTTGCAGAAATATTAAACAAGATTCTTCATGAAAGTAGACCCTCAGATTCTGCTCTTGGCGCTTTTCAGAGATTATTACTTCAAACTATTGCTGAATGAGACATATCTGCACAGGAAACATATTATCTTCTCCTTAGTATTCTTCTTTATCATTCAAGTCATTGCTTCATTACCTTAAACCTTAACAAGAAAGTACCCCGATTGCTTCGTGGTACTGGAAATGATAATTTTGATACAAGCGAAGTTGGGCAAACAGAACAATCACCATTACAAAAATATTGAACTAGAGCAGTTGAATTCAAAAATCTTTTTCTATTTCAACTATATCAGAGATATAGATTTTATAAAGGTGTTTGGAGGAAATATGCTCGTGAAAGTATCATATGCATTTGGCCAAGACCTTCTTCTAACGAAATGGTCTTCAATGGGAAGAGTTTTGTTGTGTAAAAGTTTTACTCCATGTTTGCTATAGAAGAGTTGAGCAGTTAACAGTAAACAACACTATTTCATGGTCAGAACTTTTTAATAGATATCTTGCAGAAAGAGAAGGTGAACTTGATGATTTGCTCGGACCATCAATCGATAATGTAGAAGAAGAAGTTGAGGATGATGAGGGTGAGCAGCTAGAAACAGATGAAGATAATGATAAAATTTAACCAGATTGGATGATTTTGTCAGAAATAGGCCCAAACTCTACTATTGATATTTCATCTGATCTTGGGTTAAGAAATACTGATCGAAGTCATGACTGGTTTGAAGATGTTAGACAACATTATCCAAACCTTGATCTTGCTGATGTAGACATATTTATGCAGCACTGTTGTAACAACGAAGCAATTACCAATGAAAATGATACTATAGATTGTACAACATTAAATGAAAAGCAAATAAAAATATTTAAGCGAATTGAATCTTACTATAATATTACTATTACAGGTGGTAATATTGATCTATTAAGAGTCATCATCATGGGAACTGCAGGAACTGGTAAATCATACCTTATTAATGCAATTTGGCAAATTCTTCAAGAATTAGCAAAGCGAAATAGTATTGATAGTTCTCCTGTAATTGTGCTCGCACCTACTGGAGTTGTAGCATTTAATATTCATAGGACAACTATACATTCAGCACTGTCTATTCCGGTAAGTAGCAATAATTTTGAAATAACTGGCAAGCATTTAAAGCAGCTACAAAAAAAACTAGACAGTAATAGATATATAATAATTGATGAAAAAAGTATGGTTGGATGCCGCATGTTTTCTATAATTGACATGAGGTTACGGCAGGTATTTTCTGAGAACAAAAATTAACCATTTGGTGGGCAATCAATTGTTTTAGTTGGTGATTTTGGTCAACTGCCTCCTGTTCTTGATCTTCCTATGTATTTGCAGAGCGTTAGTCATGATTCATTATCAAACGATGGTGTTGAAGTATACAAGCTATTTCAGAAAGTTTACCAACTTGACATTGTACAGTGGCAAGCCAGAGATTTAGAAGAGGAATGTCACTTTAGAAACATTCTTCTTTGCTTACGTGATGGTGAATCTACTATTGAAGATTGGAAAGTATTTACTACACGTTTTAAATGCTCGCCAAATATAATGCCAATTGAGAATGAACAATTCTCAAATGCTACATTTCTTTTGTCACAAAAAAGTAAAGTTGAAGAGATTAATATTAGCAAACTAAGATCATTAAATAATCCAATTGCTAGAATTTGTGCTATTAATAGTGGTAGTACTGATGCATCCAAAGCTGATTCAGATATTGCAAAAGGACTTGAATTCCAAATTTTGTTAGCTAAGGGTGCTCATGTTATGTTTAGGACAAACTTGTGTGTGAAAGTAGGATTAGTAAACGGTGTGATAAAGGTGGTATATGATATACTTTTCGAAAAAGATCAGGGCCCACCTTCACTTTCTGTTACAGTTTTCATAGAATTTGTTAATTATAGTATATGTATATTTATTAAATATTTTAAAAATTAAATACCGTAATCATAATCGATAATTACTAAGTTAATTTTTTAATATTAGAGACTTTTGCTTCAGACTTTTATCAGATCCTGATTTCCTAATAATATTTACAATTTTAACTATCCTTTTCAATTAGATAAATATTCTCTAGAACTATTAACTCAACATACTATCTGTACTATATACTATTTATATATTTATACTCTGTGATTATCCTAGTATAGATTTAACAGTAGTCTTAAATTGCTGCTCATATCAACTAGTCTGTTATATAGCATTATATTAATAATAATTAAAAAATTTTAAAATTTTCATATAGCTTCTAATCTTTTATTCTTAAATTATTTCAAGTTAAAATTCTTCTTGATAAGCTATCTACTTCTAATATATTATATAAATATAATTATTAAATTGCTATTAATATAACTAAATAGGTGTGGCGCCTTAGAGAAGTGGTCAAGGTGTCACCTCCAAGCAGCAGATTGATAGTTCGAATCCCACTGGTGATGTTTTGGAGTTAAATCTGTGTTCAGTAATTGTGGCTTCTGATCGGTTGGGCTTAAAACCTGTAATCCTGGTTCCACCATCTTGAATGGGAGCTTGCGGGCGCAATGATGTACTGGTACTACGTCGCAA